TCATGTTCTCCTGATACTTTTTCAAAAAATTCGAATTTTTCAATTGCAGTGAATAGCTCTTTGATTCTCATGTTCTCCTGATACTTTTTCAAAAATTCGATCCTCTTCGCTATTACCCCTCATAAAACAATTTTACTAGTTCTCTCCTTTTCCAGACCTCGGTGTAAAGACACCTCAGACCTAAAAATATATCGCCGGTAAAAATAAAATCTCATCATTTCCAAACCAAGTAATGACCTGAAAGATAAATGCAAGGGCAGACAGAGTCCATTAGTGATGACAAATAAATTCCTCAGCGTCGTAAAAGGAAAAAAAATGAGAAGGCACTCGGCTGACGCGTGTGAAGGTGATCTTGTATAATAAAAGAGATCTCAGCAATTAGAGAATGTTTGAGATGAGCCACTGACAGTTTTGCACATAATCCAATTAAATTGAAGAGTTCCCTGATTTCTCCGCCATTTTGATGCTTAAAAAGGCGGCCGACAAAATGGCCGAAGACTTTGGGTAACTCCTCAATTCTTCTGCGATCTCATTACATACCTATCACTTCATTGAAATATAAACGAGACGAGTCCTGTGATAAGAACTCCCCACTTATTCAATTTATTAATTTATTAAACAGAAATTATATACATCAATACAATCACCTCTTAAATAATCACTAAATCTTTAAATAACAATTCATGTCGAGGTAATCAACTTGACACCAGCAATCCATTACAATTCTCTGGATCTGGAAGGCTCCAGATCTCATTACACTTTCACAAAAACTCGAAAAACCTGTTGGTTGTTTTTTTTAATCACTGATCCCGACTAAAACCATCACTAGAATGATAACCAGGAGTTTTCGTTTTCCTCCACGACTTCCTGCACGATGCTGAGTGACTCAGAGACCAGTCCTTGAGCCGATGCTCGATCAATTGCCATTTTAATCGTCCCCCGGTGAGCGGGGAACACTCAGATCCTGTGGAATAAATAAATTAATTATTCATGAGAAGGCTGTTAAGAGCGTTTTTATAAAAAATATTTAATTCGAAAGTCTCGTAGCGTTTAGATAGCACTTTTCATTCCCAACGAGAATAAATTATCGTATCAATTATAATCTCACATTTCGTCTAAAAATGATAAAAAACCGGCCTCACCATTCAGGAAGCCGAAATTTTCCTCCTGAGCGTGAAATACCCGACCATTCTGAGGACGACAAAATTCACCATGAGAATGCCAATATTCATCCAAAAATTGACATCCTTCATGCCAAGTTCCTCGAGGATAGTCTTGGGTGCGCGATAATGACAGTAGAGCTCGTCCTCAGGACACGGCAATTTTTCCCTGTCATATCCGTAGATAGCTTGAACGAGGGCCTCCATGGCGTATCTCAAATAACTGAGATAGCTCACGTAGTACATGAAAAGAGGCATGTGCCTGAAGAAAACGAAGAATCCAGCGAAGAGCAGCATCATGCAGGAGGCGATGGCCCCGAGGAAGGTGCCATTGATGGGATTGACAGTGGTGCCAAGAACAAGACCAAAACTCTCTGAGATAGTTGTTGTCAGCGTCGCTCCCATCAAGAACATGGAGAACCTGCTCCAGTCATGTGGCTGTGAGCTCATGAAATAAGAGACTGACGAGTAAACAACAGCAAACAGCATCTGCACGGGTAGATTTGCTATCAAATGTGCAACGTAGTACGTTCTTAGCTGATACCAATTATTGAATTTCTCTTTCTTGATTATCGGCAGCTCCGATGGAAATCTCAAAACAGCCGGCATCATGCTGGTGTAGCACAAATAGATAACAGTCACCAGTAAAAATCCACAATTGTTGATAGTCTTTGAGCCATTGGCACCAGCATCGGCGTAAAATAGTCCGAGAAGAATTCCCACCAAGAAATGAAGGATTAATTTTAAATGGGTAACAGTCCAGTCACGATAAAGCTGAATTACACACCTCCTGAAGAGAACGAAGAACCTCAGGAATTCGGTGGGAGGAGTGACAATGACTGTTGCCTTTTGCTCGATATTTTTACGTGAAAAACTTGTGACGAGAAAGGCCTTTCTGATGAATCCCGATCTCCAGGACTTCGGGCCCGATGCAGCAGCTGTCAATTGATCACTGAAGTCTCCGTATTCTTTACTGACAACTTCGATCATGTAGTCAGCTGGATTGTGATAACGAGGGCACTGCAGTCCCAAACTGCTGAAGAAGGGAACAGTGTTGGCTGGTGAGCCCTGGAACATGCAGAGGCCCGAGGCGATGAGGTAGATGTGATCGAACATCTCGTAGATTCCGGCTGATGGCTGGTGAATTGTGCAGACAATTGTTCTTCCACCTTTTGCCAGATGCTGGAGCATCGCAATGCACTGGAGGGTGGAGGAAGAATCAAGACCCGTTGTCGGTTCGTCGAGGAACATCACTGGAGGATTGTCCAGGAGTTCAAGGGCGATTGAGAAGCGCTTCTTCTGGCCCCCTGACAGCCTGTCACAACGTGTCTCCTTGGTTTTTGTGAGGTCCAGAGTCTCCAGGATGTCGTCTATCAGAAAATTCTTCGATTCTTGGCTCAGGCTTGTACCTAGTTTCAGGTCAGCTGCCATTTTCATAGCTTCCAGGGTTGTGAACAAACCGTGGAGCTGGTCGTCTTGTTGAATGTAGCAAGAGGCCTTCTTATAGGCTTTGTAATTCTGCTTGCTCGTACCTATTATGTAGTCTATCGTTCCTGTTGAACCTGCGTCCTGAAAACCTGTCAGGAGATTCAGCAGGGATGATTTTCCAGCCCCTGATGGGCCCATTATAGCGGTTAATTCACCCGATTTGAAACAACCGCTGACACCTCTCAGCACTTGTTTCTTGGGCTTTCTGAAACCGGTTTGCACCTCCCAAGTGACATCCTTGAACTCGATGTCGATGGTTTGGGCTTTTGGAAGATTTATCTGGACTGTCCGCTGATACATGTTTTGTGTCCAGGGGAAACTTATTGCGCTGTTGTTTTTTTATTTACTTGAGATGATTTACGCGATGAATGTCAAGGATTCGATTTTTGATCCCTCATTCATCGCGGAATTGATCGTTAATGGTTCTCGTAATGAGGATCGAGGTAAACCTCAGTTACTTGTTGGTGACCTTCAACTTTTTATGCCTGTAACGCCAATTACTGCGAGAATGGCTTTACTCTGGTCAGCTGAAATAATTACGGAATCTCAATTTACGATTAGTCATTAAAATTTAATGAGGAATCGATCTGAATCAAAGGATGGGTCTCATTGAATTAATTGAGAAAGAAAAAGTAATGTGAAACGATTATTTTTTATGGATTTTCATAATTGCAGCGAAAATAAAATGATAAATTATAAAAAAAAATGGAATCGTGTGTTAACAGTCACTTGCTAAAATTTTTATGGCTCGTAAAATCAAAAAATTAGCGTACCCATTTAATTTCGACATAAACCTGAACCTCCAAGTGACATTTGCCTCAGAAAAATTGAAATTCTTTCAAAAGCGGGGAAAACATCGTCATTTCGTCATGGCCACGTCAACGAGACTATTTTATAGTGGATTTTGTTGCACAAACTCTGAATACTGATGTTTCTAGTGAATTATTCCCACTCGAGATACTAAATAACAACCACTGAAGCTTTTATTTTTCTACACGGATTGTTGCATCATCGCAATTGTCATTGTCGTGTGGTTAACGAACAGTGACTATCGCATTAGTCACGAGAGATTTTTCAAACGGTAATAAACGAAGGAAAATTCGAAAAAATAAAATACGATAACGGAAACATACTATTCGATTTTTCTGCAATTGAAATTTTACTGCGTGAATCGCGAAAAATTATTTCCCAACGATTTTTCTTTTCTATTTTAATACGCGTCAATTATTTTATTCGGGAAATTATCGGGAGTAGACGCGGGAATTTACAACAGATTCACGAAATATCATGTGACCTAATTATGGATTAACTCACGCAGTAATGCCGGTTAGAGATTGAATGGTATCTCTCATGACTCGTTGTTTTACTTCGGAGGTTTGAATTAATATATTTGATAGATCAATTATTCAGCGACGTGGCGGAGAAAAACTGGATTTCTATAAATAGAAAATATTCGGAAATATGTCACGGATCTTTGAATTCGCGAAATGAATGTATCGAAAAATAAATTGCACCAATGAAGAGTCACGTAATGTTAATCGGAGTGAATGTTTCTCTGACTTATCCACCATTGAGTATTCGTCATCACTAATGACAGACCGCAGTTCAGTAAACTGACTATTGACGAATCATTAAAACTATCGGTTAAAAAATTGAACAATCGAGTTCCCGCAGATTGCAAATTAAATTTTCGGGACTGCAATCATAAAAATATTGCCAATTGGAAAAAAATTATAACTGAACGTCAAAAAAATTCTTTTCTCAGGAAACCCATTGATTTTACGAGACAACACGATTAGACCATTTATATCAGAAATTCAATAATCTCAATAAAAGTTCCTCATCACTTTCTTCTCAGATGTACAGATATCGAGATTCACTGATTAATTGATTAATCAGCTGATCAATAACTGAGAGCAATTTCAAGAGGTAATCGAATTTTTATCACGAGTCGTTATCTTGGTATCAGATACGATCACTTGAGTCGGGAGAACTTACTCGTTCATTGAAATCCTGACTGGCTCTGGACCTTTTCATACCGGAATCTCCTTAAATCCTCAACCAGGATCACCAAGGATCTTCGGAAAACCTGTTTCCCCGTCCTCGCACGTCACTCCCTGAGGTTCTTGCCCTTGCCCAAGGAAATCACTTCTATCCGAATAAACCGGACGTTACGAGTACATCCCACTGATTGTCTAGTAGCGCAATTGCTGCACGTTCTGTACCGATAAGTGGCCCGACATCGACTGTCGTTATTTTCCGTATTCCACTCTGTATATTCCCTCAACGCGACAGATTGCTTCTCTTTTCTTTTTTTTTTTCGACTCATTTTCATGCAATACCTTTTCTGCTGAGGGAGGAGATTCCCTCTCTCCGTTACCTTTTCATTTTTTTTTCGACCGCGACCAGTTCCACGAGGATGTAAAAATTGAAATGAGGAAACATGTGACCCTGAGTTGAGGTCAATGAGTGGGAGTATCACCACATTCCCTCGTTAAAGGACTTCATTTTTATCGGATTAGATTTGATAGAAGCGAGTCATTTCTTTGTACACGATCCCATTGAAATATCATTTAATTTTCATTTTATTATTACGCTATTTCATTCGCGAACGCAATTTTTCGCGATTGTCGGGAAATTTTTATCTTTGAATATCGCTTTATGGGGGAAATTGAAATTTTACGAAAAAATGTCATATGACCTTTTTTGTTGGGAATTTAATTGACAACAAAAAAGTTCATATTCAAATTTTTCTCAAGTCCATGGCCTTTAAGAGAAATTGTGAATAGTGAAGAGATATTACATGCCAGTAATCTGACTTCAGTATTTCCTCACCGCATGAATTAATTTTGTGCGCAAATATTGGATCAGTAGATGTTTACAATCATCTAATGGCTCTGATAAATATCAATTGGAATTTCGTACCCCGTGGGTATTTTCAGATTTAATAGAAACGCGCGCCGGCGCAGCGCAGTCTCTTCCATTTAAATACCATTTACATGAAGGGTACATGGAATTCAAATAAAATAATTATTACAAAGTAATTTCATCATCGTTATGAATTTTAATGATGACTGGTATCGTCTGCGTTTCGATAATTGTCGCGTCAAAACTTTGGAAGAATTTTAAATGAAATGATGAATATTTTTCTTGACTGGCATCAATCAATGTCGAGATTACGCATCGAGGAAATTGTTACATGCAGCAATTTAAAAACATGGATATTAATTATGTTAACAATCATTAATTTGTAGGGAGTTACTGGTAAAGAGGGTGTCGAAAATATCGTTTTAATGCAGACATTTATTTTAATTAAGAGATTTAAATTTTTTCAAAAAAAATTCATTGATATTATCATATTGGATTGACTATCAAGTGACTGCATTATTGATTAAAAAAAAAAGATTTACACGTCCTCTTTTTGTAATACGCTAATGACTAGTTTGAATGACTCGAGTTTCCGGTAATGACTGGGGAACTGCTGAATAATTCCAGCCTGTTATTACCGTTTTTTCGCACTTCTTTCATGAGTCAAGAATTGGCTTGAGAAAATAAAACTAGAATTTTATCGCTAAATACTCTCGCATGTGCCGAGTAATTATTTCTGCAAAAAATAGGAAGTTAAATGCAAACAATAAAATAGAGAGAATTGTAGATTTTCTTTTCCGGGGAAAGAAAAATTCTCTGATTAAAATCGAATGTCGGAACGAATTTTGGATCTGAAAAATTGTGGATGCGATTGATTGCTGAATTTTTGTTGCAATGGAATAAAAAATTGATCCCTGGTGAAATCATTGATTACTGCTATCAACAAGTGACGAGACATTCGGTGCAACGTCCGTTGCCCCAGTGAAATCAATATTGTTTATTCGTATGAATTATTTAATAGTGAAATCTTGACCTCGCTATTGATATATTGCGCGATATTATCAGGAGAAATTGACGGGAATTTTTCAACGACAATTGACTCCGGGCTATCACTAGTTTATCGATTAATCCATTTTTCCAAATCTCCGATTTCGCATAACACTTTCACGCAATCAGAGGTCATAACGTGTCGGGAAATTACGCGACAATGACGATGTTCATGGCTCAATATTATTTGTTAAATGTCTTATCAGAAGCGTGTGCGATAACAGGGCAAACTAAAGCTTTTGACGAGACCGGCCGTGACCGACGAAGATTTTATTATTAATCCGATAGCATCTTCATCCGTCAACAAATAAAATTAGTACCTGAATCCCAAAACAAATTTTTTAATAATTTGTACGGAAAATTTAAAGGGCTACAAAAAAGTGATCTAGCAATTTTCCCTAACAGCGCTCCCTCAGCAGATTAATTAACCCTAATTAAAATAAACAATTAACAACTCGTCGATAAGGTCGAAATCGTACCAGTAACCGACACTCGGTAATTGAAAAATCATTTCTCAAATGTATAAAAATTGAAATCGACTCACATTTGGGGTCCAACGTCGACTCATGGTCCAGCCTTCAAATTAATTAATTGACCAATTAATTAATTCCTCTGTGAAGCGTTGAATTCCTGTTCTACCTGAAGAGCTGGCGATCTGCTCTGACTCCAGACCCCCAGACGTCTCCACCAATCAGCCTCTGGAAAAAAATTAGATGAATTAAAAAAAATTGAATGAAAAAAAGAAAGTAGGCGAGAAAAGACGTCGCGAAAATGAGGGGGGATGCCAAAGAAAGTAAAATAAATTCCTTCTTTTCAAGTAGCTATAGGTGGTAATCCTAAGACGCTGTGAAAGGGCCAAATGAGAAATACTTTTCGATCAGGAGCCGTCTCAGACGCGCAAAGAGCTTATACCACTTCCTCCTCCTCATCAGCCCAACCCCTTCATCCTCATCTATGACTTCGTATAACTCTCACGTTCTCAAGTAAGTCTAAGGCTTTTCCAGTTGAGATTTTCCATGTGGATTATTGCTACAAGTCTCGATAACTCATTTCCCAGTTTTATTCATGGTATGAGTGCCTTTTCCAACAGATATATCCCCACCCCCCAGAAACAAAAAAAAATTATCATAAAATCCGCCTGTAGTTATTTTTCAACTTTTAATTTGATTTAATAATGAATTTAAAAAAAACAACTATTCACCGGATGAATTGTGTAATCAATAATAAATAATCCTGAAAACAATTTTCCGAAAATTACCCACCGGAATAAATAGCAGAGCAGTGAGAATTTTAAATGAGGGGTATAAATAATGCACACCAAGATGTACGAAAATGTAACCAGTAAACCATTTTTATGAAACAATGTTTTTTCTTGCAAATTAAGAGATCGCGATAATGGCTTTAATGTTAAAGGCTCAGCCCAACGGAGAAGGGGGTTGACTCTGAAAATTACTTTGCCACTTTCCGGCTTTATTTATCGCAGCCCTTATTACGCCCCAACTTTTCAACCCCCTCAACCCACAGGCCTCACTAACCATTTAAGCTTGTCCTGTCTGCTATATTTTCTTTTTTCTCATACACCGAGAGCAAGTAATCTCATTTTTTTTTCCTCGGGATTGTGTTTTCCTAAATGGAGATTTTAGGAGTGATATAAAATATGAAGTTGTGATTTTTGGGGGTTGATTTTTCGATCCCCGCGGTGTTTTGACGATTAGAAATTTTTTCATCGGATTGTTTTCTTACTTGGTTTCCCGGAGGTTGATTATTCGGATTTTTATTGGCTACTCGTTCCCTGATTTGTTGGTGGAGGGAAATAGTGGAGGGGATTGTGTCCACAGTGAGGGGAAAAAAATCCCGTTGGAATAGCAAAGCCAGTGAATTTTCCCATTGTTCACGTCTCAATGTCGGGGTTGGGGGGTGGCCCCTCTGGCAACACAGTGTATAAGCAAAACCGAGTCTCAGGCTCGTTTATTTTTCCAGCGGAAACAATGAAACAATGTGCAGAAGGTAGCAATCAGAAATGAGATCTGGAGTTGGTGGATTTAACGCTCATGGGTTGTTTATGATCTTTGAATTTCACTGACTTTTTTAAATTCCCTCATCGATCCACCCACACTTTCAGTACAAGATTATTCTCTTTAAAACCATCATTTTAACTTAATTAACTCCACGCAATTAATTAATTCACTTAAAATTCATTCACGCCCCAATTCAGCTACTCAGTCTAGATTATTAAATCCAAATCCAAGTGCAATTATTGATTGATTCATTTAATATTCACTTAGTCTTCACTTCTACCAATTTCCCTCGTCATCAATAAATTAACATAACATTCTCATTAATAAAATAATAATAAAAAAGAAAATTCACACAATAATTAATTCACTCACTTAATTCTCAATTCCAATTCAGAGAGAAAAATAATTGCTGGAGTTATCAAAACAAAATCCCGGAGCAGTCACTGATAAAAAAATAATCCCAGTCTGTCGATGAAAATAAAACAAAAATTAAATGAAATCGGTTACCGAAGGAATGAAACATCAGATTAAAACTCCAGTATCAAAATGTGAAACGTGCGCCCCCATTTTATTTCGATAAAAAAAAAATCCCATTTTCAATTGAGTTCTAACCCTCAACTCCTGGACAAAAGGGGTTGTTCCTTACTCTCAGCGAAGTGTTTGTTGGTGGATGAAAAAAGGCAAAAAAAAAACGCCAAGTGAAATAAATAAAAATACTTGGAAATGCGAGTCACGTGTTAATCGTTGCGTAGGAGAATAGAGTTGCAGGGGCGGGGGATCGAAAATTCAATTTATTTTATTGCGTCCATAAGGTCACCCCTTTTTTTTCCAGCAATAAAAATCCGGAGAAGTTTCCAGTCCCCCAGAAAATACTCCTGCCCCCATTCTGCCCCGGGGTTTTAAAGATAAAAAAAAATCATTTGGAATTTCACTCGAATCTATCGTTTTTGATACTCGGTCTTATACTTTAAAAATTCCACGTGCGAATCTAGTATAAATTTACCAATTTTTTCAATTGGATTTGATCTCCCAATAATTCTGTAAAATGGATTATTATTATTAATTAATCATCACCAGTGCCAGTGATAAATGAAAAAATCATAATTACGAATAATTTCTCGGTTCTCACTAGACTATCTAATTGTTTATAAATAAATTGAAGACTACGAGTGTTAATCGATAAAATAGCATTTACGAGTTATCGGCGGCGTGGAAATTTTCCTGTCTGCGTAATGGGGTCATTATCCACCCCATTACTCTGATATTCAGTGTCCCCCAATGAATTCGTTAAATATTTGACTGAAAAGCCCGAAATTCTCCCATCGTAT